ACTCATGTCACTTTGATGCTCAGATGTAAGTCAGACTGTGCAGAAGAGAAGCTCTAAAGAACCAAGTGATTTAGAAACTGGAGCTAAGAAAAGCAAGCAGAAATCTGGGAAATGTTATTTCAGTCACTGCCAATATGGGATGTGGTTCAGTCTGTTTATTTATATAATATGATCCAGTGCTGTGCACTTATTAACTGGACTTTGCAAATACTTGTAGCTTAATAATGTGCTGCATATTTTATCACATCCTGAATATAAATTTGGATAAAATCATAAGAAGATTTGATATTTGATTTGGATAAAATCGTAAGAATATTTGATATTTGATTTACTTTTTAAACAGCATTTGGACCTGCAAATAGTTTGCAAGTTAGATTATTAATCTATTTGCTGCATTAATAAAATTGGGCAGTATTAGGAAAGATGCCCAGGGACGCTGTATGAGACCAAGTGTCTGTCTTTTGTCTTATATAATTTATGTCTGTTGCATACTTCAGCACTTGAAAAACTATGCCTCTGTGAAAAGAGGCCCTTCAGTGTTGCTAGGAAACCCAAGAAGTGTTTTATATGATCTCAAGATTTTAATTTATTTCTAGTGCAACACAATGAAGAGGAATTGAAGGTTTTAACCATTTTTGGGGGAAAAAAAACCTGAAAGTCATTAAAAAATCATTTTAAAATACCATTAGCAGCGTGCTCATTTAAAAAAATCTCAGAATAGAGTAGAAATGGGCAGTCATCTTCCTTAAAATCTTAATTCTCAAAAGTAATTGTTGTTAACAGTTTGACATATATCTTTTTATTTTGTTACACATATATAACTATTTTAAGGCAGTCTTTTAAAATTAGTTTTTATGTATCAAACAAGAAAGAAAGATGATATGAAAACTAAGTTGTATTTTATTTTGATCATTTTCTGTAGTATAAGTACTGAGAGCATGAATTTGGGGGTTTTCAGCTTTTACAAATTTAGATGTCTAATTGAAGTTATTTAACTTTTTTTTTGAGACAGAGTCTCACTCTGTCGCCGGGGTGGAGTACAGTGGTACAATATCAGCTCACTGCAACCTCCACCTCCTAGTTCAAGTGATTCTCCTGCCTTAGCCTCCCGAGTAGCTGGGACTACAGACACATGCCACCACACTTGGCTAATTTTTCTATTTTTATTAGAGACGGGGTTTCACCATGTTGGCCAGGATGGTCTTGAGCTCTTGACCTCGTGATCCACCCCCCTCGGCTTCCCAAAGTGCTGGGATTACAGGCATGAGCCACTGAGCCTGGGCTTATTTTACATTTCTAGTTGATTTCTACAAAATGAAAACTCTAAAAGCACACAGTAACCAGGAAGTTTTCATTGTTATCGATAGAAGTTTTCTTTCTCACTTATATATTCTTAGCTCCATATTTGAATTATTTCTTGATTTGTTTTGGAATGAGATTTTCATTTTTTTAAGTGTACTTAGATTGTTCTTAATCTTATTTAATGCATGAAGTATTACTAACCAAACTAAATTTATCAAATTTATAATCCACTCACCTGTTCTTTTCTACTATGTGCAAAGAACTACAGCAGAGATAGAGGTAGCCAGAATTTCTTCCAGCCCTAATAGAGCTAATGATTCAATAGTAAATCAGAACATGCATTTTAAAAGGTCCTAGAAATACAAGGTAGTATAGGAAGAAGATAAGTTTCTGAACATCTAGAAGATGTGACAAGCCAGGCACAGTTGCTCAACTCTATAATCCCAGGACTTTGGGAGGCTTAGACAGGAGGATTACTTGAGCCTCAGGAGTTAGAGACCAGACTAGGTAACATAGTCTGGGAGACCCTCCCCCCACCGCAAAAAAAAAAAAAAAAAAAGAAAAATGAAATAGAGGGTGTGACACAACTCTGGATGCTACTAAGTCAATAAAATTTATTTAGGAAAAAAAAATTCCAAGGCAACATATGCTAAGTGCTGAGTAAGTGATACAGAGGGTAGAAAGTGAAGGACAATCAGCACTCACAGAGAAGCAAAGAAAAATTATTGTAGGGTAGAGATGTAGAAATGCCTCAATGAATGAGGTAAGAATGAAATTATTAGAAATAATAGAGTTTATTTAGGTTAAATAGGAGAAACACTTGAGGTGATACACATAAATACCAAATCATATCCTTTTAAATAGAAATGTGGGCATGAATTGGAGGCCAGAGTAGTTGGACTTTTGGGGTGGATCAGTAGGTTTGGGTGATGTCTCATCCATATTTGCTGGGTAACAAACCAACTCAGATTTTAGAGGCTTAAAACAAAATCATATATTCATGATCCTGTGGGTTCCTGGTTAGACTAGGCTGGGATGGAAAATTACGGGCTCAGCAGTGGGGCTGCAGAGAGCTAGCTGGTCTGGACTTGGGCTGAGTGTTATAGGGTTGGCCAGACACCTCTGTTGCCTGTATGGTTTGTTCACACAGTGGCAGGTGACCAAGGAGGCAAGAGTGGGTGCAGCAAGGGTTCTTGAGGCCTCACCCTGGAACTGTAGAGGGCATTCCCGCCACATCCTGTTAGTCAAAACTGGGCCAGCCTAACGTTTAAGGGAGGAGGTACAGATAATTTGTATCGCAATTTAAATTTATTTCAGGAGGCATTTACATGTGATTGAAATCTTATGATGGTACCTCAATGTAAATGGTTTTTAATATAACCAGGATTTTCTTTAGTTCTCAATCTATTGGCTTTGACTTTATTAAAATGTTATTACAACTCAGAGTCTGTGTATATTAAGCTTATTTTAGGACTAATGGAAAGAATCATGCAGTGACTAATAACATAACTCTTCACTTTGGTTTGTTCTATCAAAATTTATTTGAAAAACAGCATCAAGATAGTCAATGTAGAGAATTAAGACTTTGGATTGATTTACTCTTAATTTAGCTCTAATGTGTTTATTTTTTTGGTGGGAGCAGGGGAAAGGGAGAGGAAGAGAGAAGCAGGTCCCATGCGCCAACCATATCTTAGTGCTTAGGGCCTCTTCCAGGTCATCATCCAGCTCTGAAGGCTGTCAGGGTCAGGTGACATAGGTCCAAATAGTAGAGCTGCTCTTCAACAGAAAGTGGTGAAACTTACAGTTATGCATACTTTAGACGTTTGAGTTTATACTTAAGAAAATATTGAGTAATCACAAGTAACCATAGATGTGACAAACTAGTGCTGCACATACTTTATAGTATGAATAGGAAAAATGTTTTATGTGATTTTTTTTTACTTAGAGACTAAATTTGCATTTTATTTTTTATTTTTTGAGATGAAGTCTTGCTTTGTCACCCAGGCTGGGGGGCAGTGACATGACCTTGGTTCACTGTAGCCTATACCTCTTTGATTCAAGTGATCCTCCTGCCTCAGCCTCCCAGGTAGCTGGGTAGGTGCTATAAAGTCAACTATTTGGTAAAAAAAAAAAATGTTTTTTGAGACGGAGTTTTGCTTTCGTTGTCCAGGCTGGAGTGCAATGGTGTGATCTTGGCTCAGTGAAACCTCCATCTCCCAGGTTCAAGCAATTCTCCTGCCTCAGCCTCATGAGTAGCTCGGATTACAGGCATATACCACCATGTCTGCTAATTTTGTATTTTTTGTAGAGATGCGGTTCCACCATGTTGGTCAGACTGGTCTTGAACTCCTGATCTCAGGTATCCACCCAGCTTGGCCTCTCAAAGTGCTGGGATTACAGGTGTGAGCCACCATGCCTGGCCGTAAATTTTTTTTTTTAATTTTTTTTTTTTGTAACATTGTTGGAGTCAAATTTTTAAAAGATACGTGTTGACAGATTTTCTTTCTTTTTGAATTATCCTTATCAAAACTTATTGCTTAGAAATATTTTTAAGCATTCAATAGAAGATTATAGAATTAAATCTAATACAAATTTAAAAAGCCTTAGCAGAAACTGTCACAATTGATCAGCATATACCCTGCTGACAGTGACTTAGTTCCCAGTGTTTGTGGTAAGCATGAATTAGTGTAGCCTTGAATTTGTATGACATGACTGACTGTATTAGTCCATTTTTACACTGTGGTAAAGAAATATGTAAAACTGATAATATATAAAGAAAAGAGGCTTAATTGGCTCTGCAGGCTGTACAGGAAGCACGGCTGGGAGTCCTCAGGAAACTTACAATCATGGCAGAAGGCGAAGGGGAAGCAGGCACATCTTACATGGCCAGAGCAGAGAATGGGGAGGTGCTACAAACTTAAACAACCAGATCTCCTGAGAACAGCAAGGGGGAATTCTGTCCCCTTGATCCAGTCACCTCCCACCAGGCCTCTCTTCCAACACTGGGGATTATAACTCAACATGAAATTTGAGCAAGGTCACAAATCTAAACTATATCACTCACCTTTCAGAGATTCTAGCCAAATTCAGTTTTAAACATTTGCTTGCATCTAGAAACCCTCTACTAGTAGAAACTTATATAATGTCAGGAAGTTCAATGTTCTTTAAGGGAATTGTATAAAATAAGATGATACTTGGCTGGGCACGGTGGCTCATGCCTGTAATCCCACCACTTTGGGAGGCCAAGGTGGGCGGATCACGAGGTCAGGAGATTGAGACCATCCTGGCTAACACAGTGAAACCCTGTCCCTACTAAAAATACAAAAAATTAGCTGGGTGTGGTGGTATGCACCTGTACTCCCAGCTACTCAGGAGGCTGAGGCAGGAGAATCACTTGAACCTGGGAGGCTGAAGTTGCAGTGAGCTGAGATCACGCCATTGCACTCCAGCCCGAGCAACAGTGCGATACTCTGTCTCAAAAAAAACACAAAAATGATAATACTAATTGTGTCACTGTACTTTTACAAACACACAAATTAAAAACTGGGCATCTCTGAGTGTGGACTCCATTCCTCTGGACCCAAACTCCCATCCTGTATCCCTCGCATCTGTGTGCTGCTTCTGAATGGCTGCAGGGCACTGTGTGTGCTGCCATTATAATAGCAAATGCTTAGTCCCATGTACATTTCTTTCTCTAGATTTCACCAGAAGTTTGAGTATCACTACTCCTGAACAGATGATTGAAAAAGCCAGAGGGGAAACTGCCTATCTGCCATGCAAATTTACACTTAGTCCTGAAGACCAGGGACCACTGGACATCGAGTGGCTGATATCACCAGCTGATAATCAGGTGGTGGATCAAGTGGTAAGTTTGATATATCATTGCTCACTTAGCAGCTGTCTGTGCAACTATCTGATGTGTCCATCACTTTGCCAGTCACATGGGTGGGCTGCAGGGAGCTAGGAAGGAAGCCCCCTACTTCTTAGGCTTATGGCCTGGGTGAGGAATGCAATTGATCTGGTAGAAATTGAGGACACCTATGTAATGGAGGAAAATGGATAATGAGTGGCCTAAGGTTACAGAAGAGGAAAAGGTCACTGGAGTTCTTAGAGAAGGTTCAGGGAGGAAGAGGAACTTATGAAAATTCTGACAATCTGGATTTGAGGCAGGGAATAGCAGAGGCCTAGATGGAGCAGGCATAATGCTGAGACAGGAATGTGTGTCATGTATTAAGAGATGGCAAATAACTGTGCTTTGTTATTAAAGGTTAGAGAGAATTGAAATTTTTTTTTTTTTTTGAGATGGAGTTTCACTCTTGTTACCCAGGCTGGAGTGCAATGGCACGATCTTGGCTCACTGCAACCTCCGCCTCCTGGGTTCAGGCAATTCTCCTGCCTCAGCCTCCTGAGTAGCTGGGATTACAGGCACGCACCACTGTGTCCAGCTACTTTTTTGTATTTTTAGTAGAGACGGGGTTTCACCATGTTGACCAGGATGGTCTCAATCTCTTGACCTCGTGATCCACCCACCTCGGCCTCCCAAAGGGCTGGGATTACAGGCTTGAGCCACCACGCCTGGCCGAATTGAAATTTTTACACAAGGATTCTGTCAGCAGTAGAAGGGTCATTAGCTATAGTATAAGAAGTACATAGTATTACAGTCTATTTTCCTTATTTTTTCAAGTTAAACATCCTGTACAATGCATTTCTTAAAAAACAAAATCAAATCTTTTTAAATTAATTTTTTTCTTTGACTTTAAAACTTCCCAGCATAAAAATGAAGTCTTTAGAACAAAAGATAATCTATAAAATACTTAAATTTAAAAAATATTAAAATATTGTTTCAGTATTTTCCCTAATCAAATTAATAAGCGTTTAATTTAGAAAATTTGGAAAGCCAAAAATAGCAAAGAGGAGGAAACATGCCTAGTAATCTCATCTCTTAATATATATGTCATATTTTGCCTTTTAAATTATTCCAGAATATTTTATTTAGAATGTTGCACATTGGCTTTGCCTGTCACATTTAATTTAAAAATATATTAATACATTATATTAGATAGGGGGAGAGTAAAACAAGTCCAAATATTTAGGTAAATATAATAATACATATATTTGGAAGAGAAATTTTATATGTACTTATTCATGTAAAAGAAGGGGATATTTAAAAGTGGCAAGTTGCATTCTTCCATTTAATAGCTGAATCAGTGCAGTTAGGTAATTCATATTTTTGGCAAATCCAGTCAGTTTGCCCTTGAAGTTTATCTGAAGGATATAATTAAGGTGATTTCTCAAGTCGTGAGTAATTAGAGCCACCCCGTGCAAGGATGTAACCTCTTCCCTGATTCTGCTACCAGAATTTCCTTCTGATTCCCTAAGCAAAATAAATCGAGCCTGACTCATTTTATCACTCAGCCCTGTTACCCTGTTCGCTGTCTCTCTGACCTCCCCCTGACCCCCCGCCCTTCTCACCTTCTCTCCCTTCTCTCTCTGGAGGTGCTGGCACCTGGAGTACAAGCTCCTATCTGAGGTCTTGCAGTTCCCCATTCTTGTGCCAGTGCAATGCCTGTCCCCCTTTAGAGCCTAGGACTTTGATCCCCTGCTTAAGATAGGGGAAGCCTTGGATGCATATGGAGAGCATGGGTTTTTAGTGCTTCTGGTGAGTGAAGCTTGTGACAAGGTGCACGTAGAGACCCAGAAGCACAGTGTGCCCTGAGCCATTAGTGTGTCTGTTAATGGGAAGAGAACCTCAAGTCTTCCATGCTGAGTGAGAGGCATGGTTTTGCTGTCTACAGGAGTGGGATCTCCTTCCCAACCACACTGACCCCACCCTTACCCACCAAAGATCTTTTATTTATATATGAACTGTGTTCATATATAAAGGTGAAACTAGGACTGGACTTTGAGTGACCATTTCTGGGTTAAAAACCTAGCTTCTAACTTGGTCATATCAGGCCAAAAGAAAGGTAAAAGGGTTAGGGGGAGATTGATGCAGAAGAGGATGTATGCATATGTAGAATTTAAGCTACGTATTAACATATGTAGCTGAGCCTCCCTATTTCAATATATTTCAACTAATAGAATGGTTAAAAACTAGGAATTGAAAGACTGAGCTGGAGAAATTTGCATTGTTATTCCTTGTGTGATCTCTTTAATCAGCAGTTACTGTAAACTGTGTACTTGGGCGGTATTTTATACTTAAAACAACATAGTAAGGTGAGAATTATTATACACATGAAAGGAGAAAACAGAGGCCCAGAGATTTTCATGCCCAGAGTCACATAGCTAGCAACAAATGCAGTTGGGATTTAAACCCAGGTCACTGACTCACACGTGAACTGTCCTGTGCTGCCTCCCATGTTTCATAAACCTGTTTCCTCATATGCAAAGTAGGAATAGATATACACAGCAGCCGAGGGTCATTATAAGAATTCAGCGAAATACTGTATGCACAAGCATTTTCTAAGCTTGTAAGTGATATTGAGATGATAGTTATGTACTGTGCCAAGTTAAATGGATCTGGTTTGCACCTTTGTTGTGTGACTTGGCAAATGCTGATCAGTGAGAGCCTCTGCTTTCCTCAGCCTAAATGTTCAATTTGGACAATGCCACCATCCTTGCAGGATTGTGAAGGGGAGTCAGTGAAGACATGTAAAACATGGTAAATTCCCCATTTCTTAACTAATATTTATAACATTGTTTTCTGGGAAGATATGAAGATAGCTTATAAAATAACCAACAGTGGGAATGCAGCTTATTTCTCAAGCCCCCCTTAAAAGACTCCTAAGGTGTGTGTGGAGCATAACGAGCTACTGGAAGTACAACAGATTGAACTCTCTGACCTTTCACAACAGATGAGCCAACTACTTTTATTTATTTATTTAACAAACTGGTATTGAGCACAATCTAGATGCACACAGTTCATATATAAATAAAAGATCTTTGGTGGGTAAGGGTGGGGTCAGTGTGGTTGGGAAGGAGATCACACAGAAGAGAACCCAAGTTCCTCCATTCAGGAAGTTTCCGCAGAATAAACCTGGAAAACAGTATTCTTGGATGACATTTATTCTGATTATACTGCCCGTAATTAGCACTCAGGTAAAAGAAATTATTTGTAGGATACAGGCTGTAGTCATGTTTCCTGATTATTATTTGAGTTTTGGCCTCACTGCTCTTTGGCCCATGGGTCTCATAACCAGAATGAAGAGATTAGCAAATATGAAACATTATAAAATGTGTTAAATTAATGTTAGAGATTGTTAGAGGTTATTACTACAGTTTTCTTCCAAGAAAATATTCCAACACAGATTTTGTTTTCCCTCTAAATCATCCAGCCTTTAGTAATTGCCATCAAAGGCTATAAGCATGGTTCAGAAAACTCAGTGGATTAGGCAAGGGTCTTTGCTTTAGTTACAGAAGATTCATTCAAAGTTCTTGTTAATCTGGGTACATATATCTTAAGAGGTTTATCGTATGATTTTGTCTGTTACAGTCTAGAACCCTTAAGTAACTCCAACTTAGTATTATGACCAAACAAAGTTTTTTGTTTTTTTTTTTTTTTGGTTAGGTTCCACAGATAAATTATGGTAAGCCCTTTTTTGGGGCAGGGAGCAGTAGGTACTTGATTTTGTTACAGTTGAATGGCAAGCTACAGCCTCAGAGGCAGTTGAAAAATAGTCTGTCAGAATGAGCAGGCCAGGCACAGTGGCTCACACCTGTAATCACAGCACTTTGGGAGGCTGAGGAGGGTGGATCACTTGACGTCAGGAGTTCGAGACCAGCCTGGCCAACATGGTGAAATACCATCTCTAATAAAAATACAAAAATTGCTGGGCATGGTGACACGTGCCTGTAGTCTCAGCTACTGGGAAGGCAGAGGGAGAGAAGTGCATGAATCCGGGAGGCGGAGGGAGCCGAGATTGCACCATTCATTGCACTCTAGCCTGGACCACAGAGCCAGACTCTGTCTCAAAAACAAAACAAAACAAAATGAGTGAGCAAATCTGTGTTCTTCCCAATCTTACTAAATTGCTCTCTAGTACAGTATAGGGCTTTACTACTTTATCCTGCTGGGTCTTTGTTTCCCCATTAAAAATGGAAGTTTGGGACTGTACCCAAGGATCACGTTGATTCCTTTCCATTTATTTCATTCTGTGATTTGGATACTTTTAGGTTTCCCCATAATACTGTGTTCTTCTTTTTCTTGTTAAGGGGAGGATTCTATAGCAGTAGGTGTATCCAGAGCTCCTTTAAGAGACAATTTTTTAAAGTCTGTTTGTTTTTCCTCCTGTCTAATTTTGGCTTTCTTTTAGATTATTTTATATTCTGGAGACAAAATGTATGATGACTACTATCCAGATCTGAAAGGACGAGTGCATTTTACAAGTAATGATCTCAAATCTGGTGATGCATCAATAAATGTAACGAATTTACAGCTCTCAGATATTGGCACATATCAGTGCAAAGTGAAAAAAGCTCCTGGTGTTGCAAATAAGAAGTTTCAGCTGGTAGTTCTTGGTAAGTTATTTTTATTTGTGTTAATGGGTTACTGAGTAAGAGGATGATTAATCATAGTACTGTAGTAGCAGCATTTGTATAAGACAAAACTTAATTTTTTAGGATAACAATTTTAAACACTTGAAGTACTTCTGTGTTGGGTAACATCAAATATAAAACTAGCTTTTGTTTTTGGATAGGAAAAGTAAGAAGTGATCAGCTTCTTTGTGAAATTCATAAGTTTGAAAATCAGTGAAGGAGTATTGTGGTTTGGAGGAAGAACTCTAAGACAGGAGTTAGATCTAGGGTTTTTGCCTTGTGCTCAGAATTTGCCCTGAGAATTGTGTAGAACCTCATTATTTCCTTGGGCCTCAGCCTACCATTTGGCATTAAACCTATCAGATCCCATTGGAAATGTTTGTGGCCAGGCGCGGTGGCTCACGCCTATAATCCCAGCACTTTGGGAGGCCGAGTGGATCACAAGGTCAAGAGATTGAGACCATCCTGGTCAACAAGGTGAAACCCCTGTCTCTACTAAAAATACAAAAATTAGCTGGGCATGGTGGTGGTGCGCGCCTGTAGTCCCAGCTACTCGGAAGACTGAGGCAGGAGAATTGCTTGAACCCAAAAAGCGGAGGTTGCAGTGAGCAGAGATCGTGCCATTGCACTTCAGTCTGGGTAACAACAGCGAAACTCCATCTCAAAAAAAAAAAAAAAGGAAATGTTTGTTATGTGTGCTATAGCTTTTACCCATATTACCCAAACAATAAATAATGTTTTTATGATGAATAATTTGAGCATTTTGAATGGAGGTAAAGAAATATGGAAGAAGGAATATTGAATTCAAGTTAAGGCCATTAGTCATCACATAGTTATTTAAACTTCTTGGCATCATTGTTTTTTTCATCATCAAAGTGAGTAGATGAGACATTCACTGTGATATCTCATAGCTCTCTCTATGATAGTTAAGAGGGAGATAGTGTAAACTGCTTTGTAAACTGTCAAAGACTGCCACTTTATTTTCCTTCTTTAGATTCTGTGATGTCTACAAGCACTCTTAATCCCTTTAGATTGAGAAACTGAAAGCTAATAGTTCCTAAATATACTTCTAAAACCATACTGTGGTGAAGTTTACACAAATGGCTACCATGTAGAAAAACACAGCTGTGTAGCTCTCTATTTTATGACAGTAAATACCCCTGTTCTCATGTTTCAGGGGACACTTGGGGATTGACTTTTCATAGGAAAAGCTGATTCCTAGAATTGTCTAGGATGACTGGAAATACCTGCTCAGGACAGGACTCCCATATCAACATTTACCTCATTCCTTCTGTTTAGAGAACTGATTAGGGGTAGGGTAGAATATTGTAAAGAAGACTCTTTATTTTTGTCTTATTTTATCTTATCTGAGATTGAGTCCTTGTTGCCCAGGCTGGAGTGCAGTGTCACAATCTCTGCTCACTACAGCCTTTTCCTCCTAAGTTCAAGCAATTCTCCTGCCTCAGCCTCCCATGTAGCTGGGATTACAGGCATGCACCATCACGCCTGGCTAATTTTTGTATTTTTAGTAGAGACAGGATTTCACCATGTTGACCAGGCTTGTCTTGAACTCCTGACCTCAGGCGATCCACCCACCTTGGCCACCCAAAGTGCTGGGATTATAAGAATACTCTTTAAAGAACAATGTTCAAGATGGCTTGGGCACCCAACACTTAACTACTCCTTCTAGTAGACCTAGCACTTAACTACTTTTCCTAGAAACTAGGAAAAAGAGTGGGGATTTTTGTATACCTTAATGGTAAATTCATGGGTTGTCTTGGTAGATAAGACAGTCATCTGCCAGCAGCATCATTGAGTGGGCACCTGAAGGGATCCTGGTGAAATGTATCATTCTGAATCACACTAACTAAAAATATTTCTTGTGGTGTAAAAGTAAGGGAATCTGAAGAACAGGGAACCAGAAAAAGAAATATGGTAATGTTGGAAATTCGAACTTTCTGTGACTTCATTGCGTAAAATGGAGTAGCTTTTCTTTTTTATAAATGTATAAGCAAATAAAAGATTAACACCTGGTCTGAATTCTTACCACAGACCCAGGAATTCCTGAGATTATAACCCTGACTATACTTTCTTCTAACACTGCTCTCCAGAAAGTGTTGAGTTGGAAGATGTATACAGAATATTAACTGGTCCATGATATGCAAAGCAGAAGTCACTTGATTATCAGAATTATTTATTGTGAAACCCCTGTTTGATGGGACAGGTACACTGGGATGAATGGGGTTGGCACATATTCCCAGAAGAGTTGTGGAGAGCATATTTGTGTGTTTGTGTATTGTCTGGATCCTGTGGGACCAGCTTCAGGGTCACATTTGCAGTTCTCAACTGAAGAGATCATTGCAGCATACAGCAGCACATATCCCAAAAGGAACCTGAGTTGGGTGGCAGGGGTGGCACATAATGTGGCTCGGCGCACTCATGTCTGGAGCCATGACTGCCCAGCAGTAGAAATGGCCTTTTTACATAAAACTTCCAACCCCAGCATCTCATTCCTGAGAATGGATAAGTGTGAAGCATTGACATAGTTCATCCTGAGTCGCTCCTTTTATAGCCAAGTGAGCCTCGAATTCAAACCAGGGAGAGACAAAAGGGATGAATTGGAGATGAGAGGAGAAAGCGGGGAAGGATGACTGGTGCTCTGATCTGGGCGAGGTTGTGTCAGAGCCAGAGGATTTCTTGTAGCCCTTTTTTCCATGTTTTTAGATGAGTCATGACCGCTGCTGGGAGAAACCACCAGAATTGTATTCTCTTGAAGGTGAGAATGGGATTGAAGCTTATCTATTAGTTTTGCCTGGAAAGTCTGCCTGGATAATCTGGGGCAAAAGATAAGATGAAGTGCCCTCTAGTGACCCAACTGAGTGGTGGTCACTGGAGCTCATTCGAGTCACTGGTTGGTAGTGGCTCTGTCTAATGCTTTGGTTCTTTGGTGGGAAATCTGAAGTAGTTGCCCTCATGGCATTCACAGTGTAATGCCAGTTCATTCATTGAGCGGGTGTGTTATATGGCCATTCACCCAGACAGATGACTGTTAGTCTTCTGGATGTGAGGGGAAGCTTGTTGCTATAGCTTGCTCCATTGCCATGCCTGCCTTGCTCTTTCAGACACAGCAAAAGTGTATGTGGATGCAGCTCAGTAAAGAAGCAGCGGAAGTGGGAAATGATAACAAAGAGAATTGATAGAAAGTTACTATTGTGGCCACATATCACCAGCATCTTCCCCTGGAGCTCTGAAAGGGCCAGTTTATTGAAACCTTTTGATCTAAAGAGACAGAGTTGTTTTGAAGAGCAGAACATGCAGTTAACATTCCTGGACATATGTGGTTACTCACACTGCAGCATGCCACCAGATCACAGTGGCAACAGTAAGTGTAGCAGCTCAGTCATCACTGGCTTTAAAGGTCCTAAGGGATTTGCAAACCACTGATTCAGGGCAGGGCCCCTCACTACTTTTTATTTTGAAATAATTTTTAGTTTTATAGAAACGTTGCAAAAATACTGGGAAGTTTCTGAGAGTAGACCCATCATCTCATTTCCCCTAATGTAAACATCTTACAAAATCATAATTATCAAAACAGAAATTAACCTTGATAGGATACTATTAACTGAATTACAGACCCGATTTGAATTTTACTGTTTCCCAGGAATGTCCTTTTTGTACTAGGATTGTATCTAGAATCCACACTGCACTTATATCTCCTTGATCTCCGCCAGTCATGTCCAGGGGCAATGATATCACGTCTTATTGTTAATCGTGATCATTTACTTTAAGTTTTATCTGGTGGGTTTCTCCACTCTATAGTTATTTTTTTCCTTTCTAATTAAAAACTGTCTTGAGGGAAATACTTTGAGACTATGTTGTTTCTCATTTAAACATTTGCCTTTTGATTTTAGCATCTATTGATAGATTTTTCCTGGAATCAGGGTATTTTTGAACCAGTCAGAAACTGTATTTTTGGAAGGATGATATCATGATAAAAGCATTTCTTGTCTCATGTAGAGATTTAGAGTGTACTTCCTGTAGACTGGTATAGGCCACTAGCATGGAAAGATGATGCAGTAATACATGTATAGAGCAGAGCATTACTAAATTGATGGGATACCATGTCCATCTTCAACTCGATAGTCACTTACCCTTATCTGAGGACGATTGACTCTGTTAATGATCATGTAGGCAGATGTTCTGAGGACAGTGGTCAGGTATGTGGGAAGCCCAGACCAAACATTTAGGGACAAGACTTTATTTGTGCTCTCTTTGTGGTTTTCTTCTGTTCCAGCAGAGGACCATGGGTTAAGAATTAATCTTCCTTGCTTATAGCCATTACTGGAAATAAAAAAAAAAAAAGGATTAATCTTCCCCGAGGTATAATGGTTGGATGTTGGCATGTAAAAGACTCGTACTTTCTCTTCCCAGTGGAAAGTAGGTGGGCTGCTCCAAAGTGTCCCTCAGAAACCCATGTTGGTAGAATTTTTATTGTGGATGGTTATAGTGAGGACCTGAACTTCCTAGCAGCAGCTTTAAATAACTCTCCATTATTAGATATGTTTAGATACGTTGGTTATGTGGGAGAAGAGGGATATAGAAAGGATAAGGGTTAGACTTAGAATTCCATATTACCCATAGATGTTTGATGCACAAAGCATTGCATCAGTTACTCATTTGCTGCTAATCTATTCCAATAAAGGATTTATTGGTAGTTTGAAGAAATGAAATAGAACAAGGCTTATTTCATTGAAGACTTTCAGGATGAAATAATTTGCAAAACTTATTTAAAAGTCCAACTGATAGAGTCTCCAGAGCACCTGGTCAGTTTGAAAAGTAAACAGATTTGTTTGGAAAAATCAACAATGCAGTTAAATATGTCTGTTAACCCTTATTTTAAAAGTGTTAAGTAGTAATAGATGAAGAGGAATACAGTTAAATTTGTTAAGGACTTACTAAGGAGTAAGATCACAGTTGACAACCTTAGTTTGAAGATACCCCACTGGATATGACAAATTGTGTTGAGCCAGTTTTGGGAAACAATTTGACAATTTCTTACACGGTTAAAATATTTACACTCACCATATGATCCAGCAGTTACTACGAAAAAGGAAAGCATATGCCAGTGTTCAAGCAGTGTTCTTAATAGTGCAAAACTGTAAAATGCATTTACCTTTATTCATAGTAAAGAATAAAAACCCATTTGGGACTGAAAAAAGGAAAATCAGCTTAAACTAAAAATGAAAAAAAGCAATCTTGACATTTATCAGCCTGGAAGGACAGATACAGATAAAGTCAGCTGCAGAGTATATGAAAACATTGTCTCTCCCAAGCCTGTAGAGCAGTAGCAAAGCATAGACTATTGCTATCTTCCTAATGGTGCTCCCAGACCTACACTACCCATCCTCTACTGGAATGCTCAATTACTAAATGGCCCTGCCTCCTGACAGCTCCCACTTCCAGTTTAATCCTCATATCTCCTCAGAAACAGCCGGTTGAGAGCTGATGGCTACTTCCTTAGAACCTCCTCAGAATCCTTCAGCATCCTTACTCTTGTCCAGTGGCATTCTGTGGTTCCTCATAATGCCTTTCTCACTGGTCCATATGATTTTGATAGACTAAACACTTGCTCCTTGTCAGTTTGGCTAACAAGGCTTTCATAGTAGCCCCCAAACTGGAAACACAGTATTCATTAACAAGTGACTGAATAAGCAAACTTGTGTTATAATCATTCATTGAAATACTAAAATAACTACATGTAAAATAACATGGATCAATCTCAGAAATGGTATGCTGGATAAAAGAAAACAAACAGTATGTACTGTATTGTTCCATTCATGTAATTCTGGAAGAACTAATCTACAGCAGTAGAAATCTAATCAGTTGCTTCTTGGGCCAGGGTTTTAGAGTCACATGTATTGTAACTAGCATGAGGGAACTTTCTTCGGAGAGGGTTGGAGTGGTGCTTAATGGATACAGATCCATTTATTAAAAGTAATCAATGCACATGATTAACATGTTAACTGTATTGTGTGAATATTATGCCTTATTAAAGTTCAGCAGAAGAGCCTGCAATGTGGAGGTGTTAATCCAGGATTGGGGTGAGTTGCAGGTAATGGAGGTAGTCGCTGTCCTAAACAGTTACCCAGGAACACCTGGAATATAATCTCAGATTTCCTTTTATTTTAATATTCTTTTTTACATATGAATTTCCAGATTGTGAATATCTTTTTGACTCAGGGTCTGGTTCTGTCACCTAGGCTGGAGTGCAGTGACATGATTATAGCTTCACTGCAGCCTCAAAGTCTTGGTCTCAAGCAGTCCTCCTTCCTCAGCCTCCCAGGTAGCTAGGACAACAGGCCACATATCACCACATTCAGCTAATTTTTCAAAGTTTTTGTAGAGAAAGGGTCTTGCTATGTTACCTAGTCTGGTCTCAAACTCCTAACCTCAAGTGATCCCCTGCTGCCTTGGCCTCCCAAAGTGCTGGGATTACACCATGCCCAGCACAGATTTTTTTTTTATAACCTGCTCTTTGGATGGATTTGAGTTGATATAAATGCAGAGTGTTAGTTGGTCCTTTCTACACTAAATGAATTATCCCTGTTAGTATTTTTGATTATAAACTGCCTGATTGTCAGGGTTATGGCATTAGAGGGGTGTGACTTGGGACATACTGCCAGGGGGCTACATGTCAAGCATGGAGAAGAATAGCTAAGGAATGGAAGGGGGAGCTTCCTTGATTCTCAAGTGCTCTTGCCAGAAAAAAGCAAGTGCATCATCCTTGGTTTTTCAGGTATGCCTCGTGGAGTGGATGGGCGCCGAGCTACGCCTGAAAAATTGCCATATCTACTAATGCAGTGGCTGCTTGTCTCTGAGCTTATTCTTTTCTGTTTTGTCTCAGACAAAGCTGAGTAAACTGATGTTGATCACTTATTGTGGTCTTTCATTTTTTTGTGAATTCTGAACCCAGGACCAATTGATAATGAGTCAGTGGTTGTGCACAAGGCTGTAATCATAAAAGTAAGTTCCATTATCTTATGTAAACTCATAATTTATTTTCTTTTTCAGTTAAGCCTTCAGGTACAAGATGTTATGTTGATGGATCAGAAGAAATTGGAAATGACTTTAAACTAAAATGTGAACCAAAAGAAGGTTCACTTCCATTACAGTATGAATGGCAAAAATTGTCTGACTCACAGAAATTGCCCACTTCATGGTTATCAGGTACTGCTGATAATAGTATTTGTACCATGTGCCGTTGATCTGGACTAAAATATAGTAGGGGGGGGGTGTGTGTAGTTTGAGATAGGGCCTTGCTGTCTCTTCCAGGCTCACTGCAATCATGGCTTACTGCAGCTTCGCCCTCCCAGGCTCATGTCATCCTCCTGGAACTACAGGTGCATGCCATCATGCCCTGCTAATTAAAAAAAAAAATTGTAGAGATAGGATCCCCCTGTGTTGCCTGTGCTGGTGTCAAAGTCCTGGGCTCAAGGAGTCCTTCCTTGGCCTCCCAAAGTGCTGGGATTACAGGCATGAGCCGAGGCATGTGCCCAGCCTGCTTATATATTTTAGATTCCAAATGCTTTCCCTCTTCTACATAGAACAATCATGATTTCCATGGGAATTATTTAGTATTTTTTAATATCAATTTAGTGTCATGTATTATAAATGAAGAGCTATTTTATGATTTCATTTTTTAGGATATTATAATTTGTTACTTTGGCAGATTTTTTTTTTTTTTCTTTTTTCCTGAGACAAGGGGTGTCACTCTGTCACCCAAGCTGGAGTGCAGGGGCAGGATCTCGGCTCCCTGCAGTCTTCACCTCCCAGGCTCAAGTGATCCTTCCTCTTCAGCCTCCAGAGTAACTGAGACTACAGGCATGTGTCACTACACCCTGCTAATTTTTGTATTTTTTGTAGAGATGTAGTTTCTCCATGTTGCCCACATTGGTCTCAAACTCCTGGGTTCAAGCTCTCCACCCACGTCAGCCTCCCAAAGTGCTGGGTAAATTATAGGCATGAGCCATTGCACCTGGCTGATTTTTTTTTTTTAATTGATGAGAAATGTTTATGGTTATGACTTAGTGGCCAAAGTGTAATAAGAGTTGGATCTTTAGTGTTCTGCCTAAATTGAAATATAGTAATTTACCCATGGTGTGTCTATAAAAGAAAATCTGTGTGACACTAAACTAGAAAGTTCCAAATTGGCTGAATCTGTTCACCTATTTGCTGTAATTGACTTCTTAGTTTAAACTGATTACCAGGCTCCACCCGCCATCCGCTGCATTCTGGGCTTCAGTGGGCTTTCTCTGCCTTTCTTTTTCTCAAGCTAAGAGTCCGATTTGGGAGACCCCCATTGACTTCTTTTTGAATGTTTCTTCCATCGAGGGGGATAAAATAGGTTTTGTAAGTTTTCCTGCTGAATGAAAGATCCTTTGTAGAACGGGATAGTTTTATAGTCTGATGTGCCCCAAAGTGGGTTTGCAGCAGCCACACAGTGGGCCAACACACTGCTTCAGCTCTGAGGCCCTGTGGTGCAGGGGATCATGGTTACTTTCACCTTGATACATGTGAACTGGAAACATGATTCTTTGAATTCTGGAGACATGTGTGTGGCTCAGTGCTAGTTTGTTTGCAGCCAGCTTTGATCTGTCTTGCTTTTAACTGCATTGTCAAACTTGGTAGGGGCTATGTTTACTAACAGCTGAGAGTAATACATACTATAAAACTGAGTTTGTTTTTCCTCCTTCCATAGAAATGGCTTCATCTATTATATCTGTAAAAAATGCCTCTTCTGAGTACTCTGGGACATACAGCTGTACAGTCAGAAACAGAGTGGGCTCTGATCAGTGCCTGTTGCGTTTAAACGTTGTTCCTCGTAAGTATCTTCTTTCACTTGGTGGTTTTCTTTCTGTTATCTCTATACCATCTTCTTTAGTTCAGTTAGCAAGTGTGTATTAAGGGCAAGGGGACTCAGCCTTTGATCAGAACACTGGTTTGATTATTAGCTTTTCTAGAAAAAGTTTTGTTTTTTTTTTTTTTTTGAGACGGAGTTTCGCTCTTGTTACCCAGGCTGGAGTGCAATGGCGCGATCTCGGCTCACTGCAACCTCCGCCTCCTGGGTTCAGGCAATTCTCCTGCCTCAGCCTCCTGAGTAGCTGGGATTACAGGCACGTGCCACCATGCCCAGCTAATTTTTTGTGTTTTTAGTAGAGGAGGTGTCTCACCATTTTGGCCAGGATGGTCTCGATCTCTTGACCTCATAATCCACCCACCTCGGCCTCCCAAAGTGCTGGGATTACAGGCTTGAGCCACCACGCCCGGCCCGAAAAAGATGTTTTATTTTAAAAACTTCATAATTGCAATGATATATTAAGAAGGTAAGAATTGTCAAATCAACCCTCGTACCATACTTATAAGTGTGAGTAGCTCAGAATATTCTCCTATGCTAACCAAGATAGCTTTGAATATTAAATTCTTTCAGACAGGTTTTATCATTTTTATGTTTGAAATAGATTATACAGTTCAGAAGAAAGTTCTTCTTATGAATTTTTTCTCTGGATCAAAAAGACTAAATTATTTGTCTCTTAAAGTTAATACATGTGATGAAATCAATCTATAAATGTGTAGCCTACCTTCAGTATCTATACATGTGTATTTTTTTTTATTATTAATTCTCATTAACTTCTTATTTTTAGCTTCAAATAAAGCTGGACTAATTGCAGGAGCCATTATAGGAATTTTGCTTGCTCTGGTGCTCATTGGTCTTATCATCTTTTGCTGTCATAAAAAGCGCAGAGAAGAAAAATATGAAAAGGAAGTTCATCATGATATCAGGTAATTATGTGAGACAGGAGCTGACCGATGATGTATACCAAGTGTGTGTCATGTCTCTAAAGCATTAGTTCTTTATTAACCATCCAAAGCAGCTTTCTTAGGAAAATGGATAAAAGCTTAGGCCCCCTTCTCCTCAATGCATTTACTGGTTTTTTTGTTTGTTTTTTGTTTTGAGATGGAGTCTCGCTCTGTCACCCAGGCTGGAGTGCAGTGGCATGATCTCAGTTCGCTGCAACCTCCACCTCACGGGTTCAAGCAATTCTCTTTCCTCAGCCTCCAGAGTAGCTGGGACAACAGGCGTGCACCACCACACCCAGCTAATTTTTGTGTTTTTTAGTAGAGACGGGTTTTCATCATGTTGGCCAGGAGGGCCTCGATCTCTTGACCTCATGATCACTTGGCCTTCCAAAGTGCTGGGATTATGGGCGTGAGCCACAGCGCCTGGCCAAGGCTTCAATGATTCTTAATGTCTCACTGGTGGAAGGTTTTGCCTCAGTGTTGATGCTGCTGCCGAAGGTTGGAGTGGCTGTGGCAATTTCTTTCTTTCTTTGGTTGTTGGTTTTGTTTGTTTGTTTGTTAAGACAAGGTCTTGTTTGCCCAGGCTGAAGTACAGTGGTACAGTTATGGCCCACTGCAACCTCTGCCCCCTGGGTTCAAGTAATATTCCCACTTCAGCTTCCCAAGTAGTAGCTAGGACTACAGGCATGAGCCACCACACCTGACTAATTTTTGTATATTTGTAGAGATGGGGTTTCACCACATTGCCAAGGCTGGTCTTGAACTCCTGGGCTTCGTTAGCTCCTACCAAGAATGTCAACCTGTCCTTTAAAGCATTGAAGCCACACACCAACTTCTTTAGCTATGAAAGGCCTAGATGGTGTTTTCTTGCAGTAGAAGTCTGTTCTGTCTGCTGAAAATCTGTTACTTAATGTAGTTACCTTCATCAACGATCTTCTGGATAACTTTCTGTAGCTTCTTCATCACCACTTTGTCGCATCACCTTGTACTTTCATGTCATGGAAATGGCTTGTTTCCCTAAACTCATGAACCAGCCTCTGCTAGCTTCCAACTTTCTTTCTGCAGCTGCCTTAGCTCTCTCAGCTTTGATAGAATTGAAGAGACTTAGGGCCTTGCTCTGGATTGGGCTTTGGTTTAAGGGAATGTTGTGACTCTTTTGACCCTCTATCCAGACCAGTAAACTTTCTCCATATCAGCAATAAGACTGTTTCACTTTCTTATTGTTCACATGTTCACTGGAATAGCACTTTAAGAACTTTTTCATTGCATTTACAATTTGGCTTGGCTGGGGCAAGAAACTAGCTTTCAACCAGACTTGATTTTCAGCATGCTGTCCTCGCTAAGGTTAATTATTTCTGGGTTTTGATTTAAAGAGGGCCATGCTGATGATTGCTTGAGTCCAGGAGTTTGAGCTTGCAGTGAGCTATGATCACACCACTGCACTCCTGCCTAGGTGACAGAGTAAGACTGTCTCAAAATAAATAAATAAAATACATATTTTTTAAGTGAGAGCTATGCTAACTATTCCTTTTACTTGAACACTTAGAGATCACTGCAAGGTTATTAAGTGGCCTAGTTTTAATATTGTTGTGTCTCAGGGAATAGAGAGGCCTGAGGGAGAGGTGAGTGACAGGGGTGGGGTAGAGTGGGGGAATGGCCAGAATACACATAATATTTATTAAGTTTGTTGTCTTATGTGGGCATAGTTCATGGCGCTCCAGAACAATTAAAATAGTAACATCAGAGATGACTGATCACAGATCACCCTAACAGGTATTATGATAATGAGAAAGTTTGAACTATTATGAGAATTTCCAAAATGCAACACAGACATGAAGTGAGCACATGCTATTGGAAAAATAGTACTGGTAGATTTGCTTGGCACAAGATTACCACAAACCTTCAATTTGTTATTTTAAAAAATGCAATCAATATCTATGAAGTGTAATAAAACCAAGTCACAATGAAATGATTATACCTGTATTTTTTAAATTTACTGAAGATCTCAGATACACAGTTATCCTTTGGTATCTGTGGAGGACCTCCTGTGGATACCAAAATCCAAGGATGCTCAAGTTCCTGATATAAAATGGTAGCCAGATGCAGTGACTCAGCCTATAGTCCCAGCACTTTGGGAGGCCAGGAAGGAGTTCAAGTCACCAACCTGAGGAAGATGGAAAGACTCCATCTCTATTAAAGAAAAAGAGGCCGGGTGCGGTGGCTCACGCCTATAATCCCAGCACTTTGGGAGGCCGAGGCGGGTGGATCATGAGGTCAAGAGATCGAGATCATCCTGGTTAACAAGGTGAAACCCCGTCTCTACTAAAAATACAAAAATTAGCTGGGCATGGTGGTGCACGCCTGTAGTCCCAGCTACTTGGGAGGCTGAGGCAGGAGAATTGCTTGAACCCAGAAGGCGGAGGTTGCAGTGAGCCGAGATCCTGCCATTGCACTCCAGTCTGGGTAACAACAGCGAAACTCCGTCTCAAAAAAAAAAGAAAGAAAAATAATATAAAATGGCATACTGTTTGTATATAACCTTCACATATTCCTCTGTATACTTTGAGTTATCTCTAGTTTATTTGTAATACCTGTTATAATGTAAATACTATGTAAATGGTTGTTATAATGTATTGTTTAGGGGATAGTAACAAATCTGTACATGTAAGGTAGAGATGTTATTTAAAAAAAAATTTTCTATATGTGGTTTGTTGGCTTCACAGGTGTGGAGCCCATGGATATGGAGAGCCAACTGAGCTCTTTGTCAGTGTGTGGAATGAAAATTCTTATGCTTAAATTCCCAGCAAACTTAAATCTCTAGTGTTTTCAGCTAAGGTTTTAGATAAATTTAATAGAAAACAAATTTTTCTTTTTTTTTTTTTTTAATTTTTTGAATTTTTATTTATTTATTTATTTATTTTTGAGAGAGTCTCATTCTGTCCCCCAGGCTGGAGTGTTGTGGCATGATCTCAGCTCACTGCAACCTCTGCCTCCTAGGTTCAAGCGGTTCTCCTGCTTCAGCCTCCCGAGTAGCTGGGATTACAGGCGCCTACCACCACGCTCTGCTAATGTTTTGTTTTTCTTGAAACGAAGTTTTACTCTGTTGCCCAGGCAATGGTATCATCTCAGCTCACTAAAACCTCCGCCTTACCCAGATTCAACTGATTCTTCTGCCTCAGCCTCATGAATAGTTGGGACTACAGGCGTGTGCCACCGCGCCTGGCTAATTTTTATATTTTTAATAGAGATCAGGTTTCACTTGTTAGCCAGATGGTCTTGATCTCTTGACCTCATGATCTGCCCACCTCGGCCTCTCGAAGTGGCTTACAGGTATAAACCACTGAGCCTGGCCAATTTTTGTATTTTCAGTAGAGACGGGGTTTCACCATGTTGGCCAGGCTGGCCTCAAACTCCTGACTTTAGGTGATCCGTCCGCCTCATCCGCCTGAAGTGCTGGGATTACAGGCATGATTAAGATACAAATATATCTGTAGGTGTTAGTGTTTTATCAACTGTAAAGTGTTATGTGGCTGTAACTAGATTATCTAGACCAGTGATACTAGAATATGAAACTATTTGAGATTTATGCTTTGTAAGACAACATTCTAGAATCAGCTACATTTGTGTAAATACTATATTTCACTAAATGTGAAGTTGTAACTCTTTAATCAGAATGACAAATTGGGGACGCATACACAATTTATGATATTATGGTTTGTTCTTTTTGTTTTTTTGTGACACACAAACACACACACACATACTTTTATATGCTTAGTATTTAAATATAGGCCCTTGCCCATGATTCATAGCTTGCATAATTGTAGGTTTTTAGGAATGTATTCTCTTGACATGTGTTGGGGATTCTGTTTTCCAGGGAAGATGTGCCACCTCCAAAGAGCCGTACGTCCACTGCCAGAAGCTATATAGGCAGTAATCATTCATCCCTGGGATCCATGTCTCCTTCCAACATGGAAGGATATTCCAAGACTCAGTATAACCAAGTACCAAGTGAAGACTTTGAACGCACTCCTCAGAGTCCCACTCTCCCACCAGCTAAGGTAGCTGCCCCTAATCTAAGTCGAATGGGAGCGGTTCCTGTGATGATTCCAGCACAGACCAAGGATGGGTCTATAGTATAGAACCTCCGTATGTCTCATCTGTGCTCTCCATGTTTCTTTCCTTTTTTTTTTTTTTTTTTTTTTTTTTTTGATATATGAAAACCTATTCTGGTCTAAATTTTGTTACTAGCCTCAAAATATATATATAAAAAAACAGGAACTGTAAGAAATATATTTTTAAAAATTTTTCTTTGGTTATATTGAAATAGTTACAGGCATTAAAGTTAGTAAAGACAAGTTTACCATCTGAAAAAGCTGGATTTTCTTTAAGAGATTAATTTTCAAGATTTCTGAATATTAGTACCTAAGTAAATGTAGCACTTTGATTATGAAATCATAGGTGAAGAAATTGGTTAACTTACTTGCATATCAAGTTGATACTTGAATAACCATCTGAAAGTGGTACTTTATAATTTTTACCATTATTTTTAGGATGTGTATCTCATTTATTTATGTCCCAGCAGTCTCCCCCAAATTAGTAAGATAACATCCATAACGAAATTACTTATGTATGTGTGTGCTTGTTTTTGTAGTTCCTTTGAAAACTCTAAATATGTTTGGAATAAAACACAGAAAACTACAGTGGTTTAGAAATTACTAGTTTTACTTTTAAGTCATTCATAAACCTTGTCTATGAAATGATTTCTTAAATATTTAGTTGATAGACTGCTACAGGCAATAGGGACTTAGCAAGCTCTTTTATATGCTAAAGGATCATCTATCAGATTGAGTTGGATGGAACGTTTGCTGTCAGCCCCATAGGAGATGACATTAGGTGCAATAGCAGGGATAGATTTTGTTGGTGAGTGATCCCATGCCTTGAGATCTGTGGTGGTCTTCAAAATGGTGGCCAACCAGATCGAAGATGTAGTATTTCATAGTTCCCAACTAAAGAACTGGCTTTCCACTTTAGGTGATATTTTTCTTATTGGAAAAATACTATAATTTATTGATCATTTGACAATTATAGATTGAAATTTCCTAATTTATTCTAAATTTTAAGTGGTTCTTCGGTTTCCGTGCTTTACGTTGTTTGTTGTTGTTTTTGGATGGTGTTACATATTATGTGTTCTAGAAACATAATCCTAAATTTACTTCCTTGAATACAATCCCTGGACAATATTTTTATCATAAATGCAGAATAATCAAATACATTTTAAGCAAGTAAGGGTCCTCCATCAATTCTGTATTCCAGGCTTGGGAGGATGTCCAGTTGCCGTTGTGTGACCAAACATGTCTTTGTATAGTTTCAGCAAACCAAGTCGAGCTTCGAAAAAGTTTGAGTCTTAGTTTTGTGAAAGTGATTTATTCTTCAAAAAAAAAAAAAAAAAAAAAAGATGATAAGAAAGAAAAAAGAGTAAAGGGAATACTCCTACCTGCCAAATGTGTTAAATAGCATTTTAGGAGAAGAAAGTGGATTTATTGTATTTCCCTTAAGATTGTGAGGGAGTGTGGATATAGTAGAATGAGCCAACAGTTTCTTTATAATAAATACGGTCTGCAATAAATTATTTCACTAGCTCTAAAACCTTTCCCTAGATTTTAGTAGGGAGTTGGTTTCTGTTAATATCTTTGGGTGCTGTGGTGGTAAATGCTACATTATAAACGGTGGCATGTATTTACAATTAGAGTATTGTGTGTACACTTTTTAATGGGAAACTTAAGCTGAATGTGTAATGATTTGTGTATACTTTACATATTTGGAAGCATTTTAAAAGTAGGTTTTAACCTTACATAAAATTGCTTTTATACTTATGTTAACATATTCATCTGTGCCTTTTGGGTGATTTAATTTCTATTATGAATTTCTGGTGCCTATGAGCTAGCTATCACCTACCTGAAAGGTGCTTAGAGGTGAAGGTACTGTTTTTAAAAACACATCACTGTGACACCTTTCTATCCTCACATTTTCAAGCTTGCCCCTTTTTCTGTTCTTTGTGGATGTAACTTAAATGATTGTGTTATTCATAAAGATTTAGAAATTTCAATATCTCCAACACTCTGGCTATGTTTCTGATTTTATAACAGTAGCTATTTTTGAATGTCAGATGTTTGACCTGACCGGTTTTATATAAATAAAGTTTATTTTAAAATACTATAAAAATAAGTCAACAGAACATAAATGATGAAGTTTTGGTTCTTCCTATTCCTGACTTTCATATAATGAACATAACCTATTGATCTAAGTAGAAGTTATCATAGAAAGTGGACATGTATAGCCGGCACCATGGCTCACGCCTATAATCCCAGCACTTTGGGAGGCCAAGGTGGGCGGATCACAAGGTCAGGAGTTCAATGCCAGCCTGTCCAATATGGTGAAACTCCCATCTCTACTAAAAAAAAATACACACACACACACACACACACACACACATAAATTAGCCGGGCGTGGTGGTGCGTGCCCGTAATCCCAGCCACTCGGGAGGCTAAGGCAGGAGAATCACTTGAAGCTGGGAGGTGGAGGTTGCAGTGAGCTGAGATCACACCACTGCACTCCAGCTAGGGTAACAGAGCAAGACTCTGTCTCAAAAAATTAAAAAAAAAAAAAAAAAAAAAAAGACTTTCCTTCTTTTTTATTTTTTTATTAAGAATACATGAAGAACAAGATTTTCTTCCCTTATACTTCATATTTGAGAGGACATTGTTTTATAGGCTTATGTCTCACCATAAAATTCTGTCAGCCAAATAGTACTGCTAAATTTTCAAGTTGTTCTCATGGGCAATTTCAGTTGAACCAGAGATCAAATATTTGCTCCCAAATTACTATTGGTAATCAAGTAGTTGAATAAAAAATTACTAAAGCATTTCAGTTAAATAGCCAAATAACATCAGTCAAGGACAGTACTGCATCTTAACAGCAAAGCCATTTGGTTCTACTTTGTGACTGAGAGACTTGATACCAACTCTTTAGGTTACGCAGGTTAATTTGAAGAGAAATGTTACTGTAGAATGTATAGTTCCGTACTTCTTTCTTTTTAAGAGATGAGATTTCACTATGTTGCCCAGGCTGGTCTCAAATTGCCAGACTCAAGAGATCCTCCTGCCTCAGCCTCCCAAAGTGCTGAGATTACAGGTGTGAGCCACAGCATCCAGCCAGTTCTGTACTTCGAATATGGAGTGGTTTACAACTGTTTTTCCTACTGGCAATCTTAGCTAATATTACTCCCTTATTACAGAGCCTCTCACTCCCCCAACTCCCCAAAAGTCTGTTATTCATTACAGTAACCAATTATTCTGGACAAATTGCTTCCTTTTAATTTGAGCTATCTGCCATGGACTTTCTAAAATGGAAACACGGCCTCAGTGTATCTTAGGGAGAGTTTGAAAAAATCCAAATCACATGGCCGGGCACAGTGGTTCAAGCCTGTAATCCCAGCACTTTGGGAGGCCAAGGCGGGTGGATCACAAGGTCAAGAGATCGAGACCATCCTGGTCAACATGGTGAAACTCCGTCTCTAATAAAAAATACAAAAAATTAGCTGGGCATGGTGGCGCATGCCTGTAATCCCAGCTACTCAGGAGGCTGAGGCAGGAGAATTGCCTGAACCCAGCAGGCGGAGGTTGCAGTGAGCCGAGATCACTGTGAGCCGAGATCGCGCCATTGCACTCCAGCCTGGGTAACAAGAGAGAAACTCCGTCTCAAAAAAAAAAAAAAAAAAAATCCAAATAGATTAGGGATATAAAGAGATAACCTGATTTTTATTAGAAAGATAATTTTTAAATTTAAGAGTTAATCTTGGAAATTTGGAACAAGTAAAGGGGCAAGTAAACATTTTGATTAAATATTAAAGGAACTCATTGCATGAAGTTGACTATCAAATTCTGTGATGTGTGGCTTCTTAAAAATATTCTCAGTGTCTTTTGTGTGTGTGCAGCATGTACATTTGATGTTATGTGAGTGTTATGAGTTTTTTCTTCTAATTTTCACTTCAGCAGTGTTTAGGGCTTTCAGATGCCTTATTCCAGTGTGAACAGAAAAAGTCCATATTTTATGTGGTTAATGCTTTGATGTGTCACATAAAGGGTAGTTTGTAGAAAATGTTGGCACAATTTTAACTTCTTAGTGGCTTGTGGCATTATATATTATATATATGTACATATATCTTTATAGCATTCCTGTGTTTAGTAGTGTAAATGTTCTGGGCAAGTTTTAATATATTGAATGCCTTTGGATATTCCAGCAATAAAGGCATTATGTTCTGCAATAGGATTTCTTACTCATTTGCCTATTTTAACACTAAAATAGGCCATAACTGAGCACAAATTCCTTTTATAAACGTTAGATAAGCAGGGAAAAATAATAAACAAATTTGTGAATTGTGGTTCTGTTTATTTATCTTTAGGGAAGGCCAATCATTTATCTTAACAGCAGAGAATACCAGCCTCTTATTCATTAAAATCAAATTTTATAAATTATTTTATAATCTAAGAATACAGTGCACATCAGTTGGGTTTGGTTTTGGTCATCAACACTAAAAGTTCCATCAAAGAAGAACTTTATGTTTTCCGCTAACTTATTTAATGACTCAAGTTTTAAGAGAACCACAATTCATTGATTCACTTATTTTTGTCCCTAACTATGAATTTTAGTGATAAATACACTTGTACTACTGAGAAAAATATTTTGACACTTCATGTGTGCAAAGTATAGAATTGATAGTGTCAGTTTCAGATTTTGTATTTACGATTTCTGGCTTATATATCCAATGGTGCAGATTATAAAATTTGTAAGAACAAAATTTGTTAAGAAAAACAACTTGCTCTAGTTTTGTGACCTTGTGTACTTTTGAAATAAAATCAAGAAAGCAGTTCTCTGCCTCATGGTGTGGCTTTATTGTACCTTTTATACAATGTCCACTAAAGCTTCAATATTTTATTCCTCCCTGCTTGCCTGTATCAAGGTTTCCTTTTCCCCCGTGCACCCGTTAAATAGAAAGAATAAAGATTGCTACAATCATATTACTTCATCATTGAAAACATGTCAAACATGCATACAAATATCTCCCATTCCTGTGTACTTATATAACAGTGTACAATATTTGGGATTGAAACCTCCAAGTTCTGTGATCATTTCAGAATTTATAGTATAAACTCAAGCATTTTTCAGATGCTTGTAGAATGTGTGTGTGTATATATATATATATATATGTATATATATATACACACACACATACATATGAGGCTAGGAAGTCGAAGATCAAGACAGTGGCAGATTCGGTGTCTGCTGAGGGCTTGTCTTCTGTTTCAAAGATAGCGCCTCTCGCTGTATTCTCACATGACAGAAAGGAGGAAAGGGAGCTTGCTCTAGCCTCTTTCCTAAGACATTAACACTATTTATGAGAGTGGAGTCCTTATGACTTGATCATTTCCCAAAGGGGCTGTACATCTGAGTGCTATCATGTTGGGGTTAAGATTTCAATATAATGGTGAGACGTGGTCTTCTGGCTAATATATATCAACATAAGAATCTTAGAGAGGCAGAGATATTCAGACCAAAGTAACATCTTGTTATGATTTAAAGTATTTTCATTCACTGTAAATGTTGATTTCAGGAAAAACCAAAAGGGACTATTGATGCTACTATAAGAAGCATGTTGAGGAGTATTTTGTTTGTACTAGGGTTTCTCAGCCTCAGCACTGTTAACATTCTGAGCTGGATAACTCTTTGTTGTAGGGGACTGTCCTGTGCATTGTAAGACGTTTGGCAGCACCCCTGGCCTCCACCCACTGGATATCAGTAGCACCCTGGCCCCACTCCACTATTCCCACCACCATTGTGACAATAAAAAGTATTTCCAGACGTTACCAAATATCTACCCTGGGGTCAGAGGCAAATCGCCTCCTTTTGAGAACTACTGGTTTATACTAATGTGAAGTACCCTACTCGGAGATTAAAAGGTAAAGAGCTCAGGACTTAGAGTCAGGCATGTTTAAATACCACTTATTACTAGTTGCTTCACTTGCTTCGGTTTCCTAGTGCTTAAAATGGTACAAAGTACCTACTTCACAGGGATGTTGGAAGATTTCAAAGAGATAAAATCACTACAATAATGCAAGTTTGTATTTATCCCTAATAGCTGGGATGCTGATAATGCTACACAAACTTTCAAGGAATCGAGATTATAGTAAAATATGCTAAGTGAAACTGAGAATAATTAAATGCCTTTAATTTAGACCATATTTTAATCTTACAGCTCTAATGGCCAGATCATATTTCTGGTTAATTAAATCACATGGTAAAGCTGATTCAATTGAGACAACATTGGGTATGAAGTAATTTATTATTCAATAAGAATAGTGTAAGTCTAAGGTATAATCAAAGATAATTTCAAGATGCAATAACACGAAGAGTGAAAAATATAAAGAAGCTAGTCCAAGAAACTAAGCTCAGTTTTTTTGCTGGTATTTCCAAAGTATAAATCAAACATACTTTGTTTCTTATACGATTTTTAAATTGTGTTAAATATTTATAGGTGAAAAAAAGTTGCTACTCTAAGGTAACTATACAAAAAGAAGCTGTTAGTTTCTCCTAAATTAGAGGTACTTCTGGGCCCTCCTCAATGTCAGTACAGGTGTTTAATGGCACAAAACCTTTGCATTCTGATTGTTCCACATGATTGATATACCTCCTTCAGGAGTCTGACGGTGATTTACCTACCTCGGTCCCCATTGCCTAACTCTTTGACTTCCAAATTGCTCAGTAAATGCTGAGTGGATATTTAGTAAGAAAACTATGGACACTAGGGGCAAATATGTGTTGATTAACTATGCATCATATATTCTGCAAAGCACCTAGCCTGGTCCCGTCAAAAAGGCAGTATCAGTGGGTGCGGTGGCTCACCTATAATCCCAGCACTTTGGGAGGCCAAGGAGGGCAGATCACCTGAGGTCGGGAGTTTGAGACCAGCTTACCAACATGGAGAAACCCTGTCTCTACTAAAAATACAAACTTAGCTGGGCGTGGTGGCACAAGCCTGTAATACCAGCCACTGGGGAGGCTGAGGCAGAATTGCTTGAACATGGGAGGTGGAGGTGGAGGTTGTGGTGAGCTGAGATCGTGCCATTTCACTCCAGCCTGGGCAACAAGAGTGAGACTCCATCTCAGGGGAAAGGTTGCACTTGGCTTGAAGAGAGAACTTGCCCAAATACAGCATTGAGTTACCTGACTCAATAGGAGTAAACACATAAAATTCATTATTATAAGAAGCATTTTAGAAATGCTTATAAAAGCCCTCCTTAGGGATTCCCGCTGAGTAGGTCTAGGGAGAAATCACTGATTGTGATTGTTCTCTTCCAGATTACTTCAATAATTAACCAACTTTGGGAGCCTCTGAATGCTGGTGAAACCCTTTGCAGGTTTCCATGCTGAGGCACTCAGGTTAAGTTTTTTTTCCCCTCGGGCTTCACAAAATTGCAGACTTTTAGTGTGGTTGAAAAAAAAAAAAAAAACCTGCTAAAATACCTAACACAATGTCTTAGATTTTAGCTTTCCAGAAAACCTGGAGAGTATTATGTCAAAGTCTTTAAATGAGTAGTCTTCTGGAATGCCTAGTCATTTACAAGTAATTTCCACAGGTGACTGTATTAGCTATAACAAATTGCTACAAACTGCTTAGAACAGAAATTTGTTATCATTCTGGAGTTAGAAGTCCAAACTCGAGGTGTTGGCAAGATTGCTTCTTTCTGAGGTATGTGAGGGAAGGATCTGCTCCAGACCTCTGTCTTTGGCTTGTAGGTGGTTATTTCCTTCATCTCTCTTCCCTCTATGCATGTCTGTCACTGTGTATACATTTCCATTTTTTTAAGGACACCAGTCATATTGAATTAGGACCTCAGGAGGCTGAGGCAGGCAGGAGAGTTGCTTGAACCCAGGAGGCAGAGGTTGCAGTGAGCCGAGATCACCACTGCACTCCAGCCTGGGCAATAGAGCGAGTCTCCATCTAAAAAAAAACAAAGTTTTTAAGGGCTTTGGAAAGGAGGAAAAAAGAAAAATGGCCAACAGGGTTCCATTGTTCCATTGATTGAGCAAATTTAATTTGGTGTAAATTCACTAAGTGCTTACTAGGCTGTTGGCAAGGACATGGGGAACCCAATAAAAATACTTTGGACAGGATAACACTGTAAAGGGAGCTTGGGAGACAGCCAACTTTGGTTCCATCTCTGGCTTCACTGCTTACTAACTGGATGACCTCAGACAAACCACTTAACCTTTCTATGCTCCTTTATCATGAATAAAATAGGGTAATAGTATCTACCTTGTAGTATCCCAATTTTTATGGGATTGCTGTTAACATATGTCAGGTGTATAGGCTGGCACCTGGTCAGTGCTCAATTAAGTGTTAGCTCTTAGCATTATTATTATTATTATTATTATTATTTTGAGACGGAGTTTTGCTCTTGTTACCCAGGCTGGAGTGCAATGGCGCGATCTCGGCTCACCGCAACCTCCGCCTTCTGGGTTCAGGCAATTCTCCTGCCTCAGCCTCCCGAGTAGCTGGGATTACAGGCACACGCCACCATGCCTAGCTAATTTTTTATATTTTTAGTAGAGACAGGGTTTCACCATGTTGACCACGATGGTCTCGATCTCTTGACCTCATGATCCACCCGCCTCGGCCTCCCAAAATGCTGGGATTACAGGCTTGAGCCACCGCGCCTGGCCCGATTCTTTTATTATACTAGTAATATTGGCATCCTATCTCACTAATATAATATGGTGACTATCCCACTTTTCCCGGGGCAGTGTTAGGTCTGTTACCTCAGTGTAATTAATAACAGCAAAGTGCCCTCAAAAGTATCTTGGATTGCACAGTAAGATGGTTATCCTGCCTTTGGGATTTTTATGGTAGCTCCGAAGTAGTGCCTTGGTGTTATGTACTAACCATGAGAAAAAGAAGTGTCTCTGCTTACACCTTCTCTGTCACTGTTCAATGAAAAGCAGAACCAGCAGGTCCAAAAATAGCAAGGTATCTCAATTGTTCACAGTCACAAATCAAACTCTTTGTTCTACTCTTTTGCTCCTTCTCACTTCTGCACTTGACTAGTGTGTGTGTGTGTATATATGCACTAGTGTGTGTGTGTGTGTGTATGTATATATATATATATATATATATATATATATATATATATGCACTATGTTTATAGTTAAATATGGTACATTTCCATGCTATTTACATTATCTCCAAAATCCTAGGATATACGCCAGTACTGCTATAATGTGTGACATCATTTACTGTGTTAGATAGAAATACCTGGCCGGGCACGGTGGCTCACGCCTATAATCCCAGCACTTTGGGAGGCCGAGGCGGGTGGATCACGAGATCAAGAAATCAAGACCATCCTGGTCAACATGGTGAAACCCCGTCTCTACTAAAAATACAAAAATTAGCTGGGCATGGTGGCGTGCACCTGTAGTCCCAGCTACTTAGGAGGCTGAGGCAAGAGAATTGCTTGAACCCAGGAGACGGAGGTTGCGGTGAGCCGAGATCGTGCCATTGCACTCCACCCTGGGTAACAACAGCAAAACTCCGTCTCAAAAAAAAAAAAGAAATACCTACCAGTAATAAGAACTATTGAAATAGTTTGTCTCTATAAGCCAGGATGTGTTTAACTCACTGGTTATGCAAATTCAAATTTGATTTTCATTTGACTTAATTGTGAAATATTAAAAAAGAAAATTGTTTTCCAGCCACCACGCACAGTAACTCACACTTATAATCCCAGCACTTTGGGAGGACAAGGAGTGTGGATCGCTTAAGCCTAGGCGTTCAAAACCAGCCTAGGCAACATTAGTGAAACCCCGTCTCTACG